AGAGATGGAGCTGGCCTGCTGCTGTTCTTTGCCTTAACTTTATTCCCTGTTAATTTATTTACTAAGATTCTTAAATATACATATCCTTATACCGCTTGTTAAATCATGTTCTGCTTCAAGGTATGTCACATTGATATTACTATTTCCATTACTCTCTGTTTCTTTTAGTTTTTAAAATGCCTTTTGAAAGGTCTCAAACCAAAATGCAGGTAAAAAGCTAAGGAAGAACTTTCACTCTATTTTTTTTTTTTTTTTTTTTTACATAGAGATCAAATATTTATTGCTAACCAGTTTAAGAAGAGTCTGTACAAAAATGGTATCTCCAGGACTTCTCTAAAATCAGACATTGTTTAAGGGTGAAAGGGGATGTTTGGGAGCATTGGGGTTTTTTTGTTGTCAAGTTTCTTTTAAAGTTTTCTTTTCTTGTTTTTAACAGGCGTACTGAAGCCATGAAAACCTTCTAGACAGCATTTCTTCTCCTATCACCACCCTCTTGCTCTACCAGCATACAATGTTGCCTTGCTCTTTTGCTAAGATGGTGAACACACAATTAGACCTACTCTACCGCTGGGCACATACACATAGAAATACAACACGAATACCAAGTCTCCATTTACCACCAGATAATAACTTTCTTCCGTAACTAGTTTAAAAGAGAAAGACTGAGTGAAGCAAATTAGTTCATACTCAAGTCTATTGAGTCTTCCTTGTACTTCACCCTTGATACATCTTTCTTCCTATCAGATTCACCACCCTTTTTTTTTTTTATTTGTAACATCTGAAGCAATATGGAAAAGATGAATAGAAAAGGATTATTGACTCTCATACTACAAGATCTAAGGAGCATCAAATGAAATTATGATGTGTCAGACCCAAAACAAGCATAAGGAAGTACTTCTCCATATAGCACATACTTAAACTGTGGAAGTCCCTGCTCCAGGATATTGGGATGCCAAAAGTATACTTGGGTTCAAAAGGTCAATGGCTAAATTCATAGAACAAAAATCAGTCAAAAATTATTAACCACAAGTATATCATATCTGGCTTTAGCCGGTTCCACAATAACAGATTGCAAGAAGCTGGATGCATACACTCTGTTTGCTTAATCTGTTCCTATAATCTTCCCTGGACATCTGTTAGTTGCCTGTCAGAAACATGATACCAGAAGACAGACCTTTCATCTGACCTAATTATGGCTCTTCTAGCTTAAGAACATTGAAAATGCTATAAAAAGTAATGGGGAAAAGGTTATTTATTACGACATATATGCCACCTTTCTAAATAAACCGGAATAAGATACTTCAAGAAAGGCAGCCTATCCCATCAACACCCAACTTCTTTTTGTTAACAGAATGTCTACCATAACATTTTGAGAAGCGACCCCTTGCACACAGTATTAACACACATTTGGATACTCAACCAGCCTGAACTATATTAGAGAAAACAATGTTCAAAAATCCATGTCAAGTCACAGATGACTTAGTTATGATGCTACAGAAATTTAAAAAATCTTTAGCAGCATAATCAGCTCTTTAAACTACAGTCTATGCATAGGATGAAAAAATTCACTTGTTTAGCACCCGGGAAGTTGAGTCACAAGATCAGTCTATGCAGCTTTGACACATACAGTATTCCTGGTGCTCACTGCGAAGAGGAAGTCCAAAATACTGAACCAAACAGTATACTAAGCATGGTCCGCTACATCCACTCATTAATTAGCTCAATATATTTCATAATTGGAATCCTTATTATGACCCGGTAAAAGCACCCTCTTCAGCAAGACTAAAATGTAAACCTTTAATTAGATGAAGGGATGATAAATCTCATGTCCTGCATTTGTATGACATCCTGCAACTCAGAAAGCAGTTTTAACTGAAAATTAATAGGCTTATTTAGAATACCTTCATGGTAAAATTCTAATACATGTATACCATGTTAAGGTACTAGATCCACATAAAAACCATTAGGAATTATCAAAAGAAGGGCTTAAGTATTCATTTAGAGCACAGCAATGTGTAGTAAGAATGGTTTCAGTGGATTCCCCCATACAACATCATGATTACTGTCATCTGATCATAACATAAGTGCGACTAACACAGCTGCCATGTCAGCTTCTCTTCAGGGGCTAGGTCTTAATCATAAATCAACTGAATGACTAATTCAACATTGTTAAAACCAGCAAGTAACTGCTTGGAGCCATTCCAGTTTTCACATCTTTCAAAAGGTCAATACACCTACTCAAACACACAATAGTCCTATCTTTCACAGTGTTTTCTTCTTTTCCTGGATTGAAAAATAACATGTTAGCACTTAAATGTAAGTGTGTTTTAACTAACAATTAAAATTCTCATTAATTCTGAAAGAGTTACCCAGTAAAAGACAATTTTAGTTTTCCCCTCTACCCACAATCAAAAAAGCCTCTCTCCTCTCCTTTGCTGTTTTAATGACTTTCATAGTTGTAAAAGTCTTACGAAAATATTTTACTGCTGAGCGTTTCCTGCATTAACCTCACTTTTGTTATAGTAATATTATGAATTAAGCTCAGAAATAAACTTTTTCAAGTTGAACGACTAGTTTAAATGTGGCTTGCATTTCAAATATGAACCTCTAACCCTCAAAATAACAACAAAAATAACAAACTAAGTGGCATCTAACAGTAAAATATATTCTAATCATTTACATCTGCTTGCACCACACAAATGACAAAAGCCTACCGTTAGCATCCTTCATAGAAAACATTTATTCTGCTCTTAAATATAAAAGCTATGTTGCATAAACAGAGGATTTAAAGCTGTGGCAGAGTAGCTGAATGAAAGAAAATGGCAATCTTTCTGGTTCTAGTAGATGCCTTTCCCTATCACACAATGTTTCCCACTCATAAATACATGACAAATACTTCCTCAATCATTTTTTACGAGCAGGGATGCACAGGGGGTAGTCAATGGCTAGCTTGAGGGAAAATAGGAACAGCAGGAGGCAGAAACTGTACTGAAAATGGCTATGTGGTAAATTCTCTTCTGGAACATCACTCAGCTACCCAGGCTTTGATCTTTCAGCTACAATTACACTCACATCCATGAGATCTGGGTATACTTTTTAAAAACTAAATCATTAATTGTAATAGAAACAGTTAAACCATTTCATTATATGACTCCTCAAACATCTGATTTTTTACAAATTAAAAATTGCATTTTATACAAAGATTTGCTTTCAATTGGCTTTAACTATGTCATCATCACAACTAGTCTCACAAAAAACATGGGGTGACTGGCGACAGCTAAATCACAGACTGGCGTCTCCTAAGCAGCCTGTCTACCATTTGGGACTGGGAAATGGTATTTACTATACAATTAGAGCCAGTGAGCTCTACCTGTAATCATCCAAGTACAGGTGCAAGGATCCTTTTTTGGACAGGGAAACCGCCTCATCCATTTTCACATAAACTTCCATGTCTGTACTGTTATAGCAAATGTTAGGAAATCTCAACATTCATACTTTGAAAAAAATATCAGCTGACAGTAACAGAGCAAGTAGCATTTGCAGTACAGTACAGATTTTTAAGACTTCAATGGGTAGAACCACTTTTAATGTTTAAATTGACATACCCAAAAAACATTCAAAGAAAGAACAAATTGATTTAAAATTATAAAATTTGGCCAAATATGAAAAGCCTACATTATTACATTGGTTGTCAAGTTTATTCCAAAGTCTGTGTTTTGGCCTGAGAGGGTTTGCTATTAAAGAGGTTAAATTTTGTTCTTTAATACTAACACAAAATGTCTTCGAGTATCAAAAGGACAGTTTTAGTTGCAGTAATTTCACAGAATTTATTCTAATGATTTATTGGAGTTAACCATCTGACATTAATTATTGTTTTGGCTTCCAGTCTATGAATGTTTATTTTTCAGTTTAAAGCCTTCTCACTCTTTGATATCATATGGAAATGAGAATTTTTAATGGAAAATTGAAACCATGTGCATCTAAGTACTTAATGAAGTACAGGGAGAAACAGAGGGTGTACTTTAGGAGAATTCAGATATTCCGCTTTAGATACTTTTGATTTGTTTGGATGAGTTACACGCATATATCTGTTCACAAACATACGTTTGTATCATCTTCAAAGTATCTCACAAGTACAGTGTTTAAAGATCTGAATACTAAGAAAAGGTTTGTTATTTGGTTGAGTTTTTTAAACTAAATATACTGCTATAGAGTTTTCTTCATTGTATACTACTAAATCTGTTCCCTCCTCCACAAACCAAGTATTTATCCCATCTAGAGCTTGCAATGACACGCTAAATGCTGTACTTCTGAACAGCGCATTCCCACTATATGTCTACCATGTTAGGACTGGATAGCCATCCAGTTCACTGAATGTCTGATAGATTGATTTCATAGCCATCATGTACTTAAGTCATAATATTGATGTCAGGAATACTTGACTAAAACCTGCGCTGTTCATGGCATTAAAGCCCATCAAAACAGGCCTGTAAACCATAAGCAAAGTGCAAGCAGTGGCAAGGAAACCAGGCACCCAACTGCAAACAGAAGAGTACTGTTAAAAGGTGCAATTTTGGCACAGTTTGAAAGATTTCTGTGCAACTCACATAGTTTTAGTGCTCTGGCATTCAATTCATTCCTTTAGAATGAAAAAGATGTTTTTCAGACAATCAGCACTGTATAACATGATAAAACCGTATGTTTATTTAAATCAGTACTTCTAAATCAAATCTATTTTCTTTGCAGTTAATGGATTCATGTAAAAACGTAAGGAAGGAATGTATATTCTTTTCTATTCTGCACTTTCATTCAGGGTTTCGCCATACGCATTGTACTCAAGCAGCATGTCAATGGGAGCATAACAAGTAACAAAAGTGCAACATGAGTTTTTATTCCTGTTTTACTTAATATCCTTGGTGATCTTAACGCGCAAAGAATTATTTACCATTGAAAAATGTTAAACAAATATAAATTTAGATATTTAACCTGAACACACTTACCACTTGTTTTTCTTTCTAATGTAGTCTTTTTCAGAGAGGTTAACCAAGTAGATCATCGGTTTTGAAGTAAAAAACAAATGTTTGTTCAAAACATCAATCTAGAAGAGAAAATATAGGAGAATTTTTAAAATAAGCTACACTAACTTGAGGCAATTTTATGACCATTTTCCTCATGGTATGTCTGAGAACGCAACAGAATTAAAGTGTAATATACAGATCACTGATAAACACAGAATTGGCTGATAAATTTAGCATTCAGTACATTATAAATATGAAATCTTAATAAAAATACTTTAAAAAAACAGTAACAGGTAGCAAAATTAGAAGTTAATTCATAGGATAATATTTATAGCCTACCTCTTTGTCATTCCAATCATGATAGAAGCGGACAGCTTTCTTTTCATCTATTACCCATGTCTTGATTTTGCACATTACGTCCTATGCAAGATCAAGAAAAAACAAAGTCAAAAACTCAGCTGGATATCAGACCATTCTCTCCCATACACAAGGCATGTATATAATAAGATTCAAAACATATGCACAAATTAAAAATGAGCTAATACCTTTTAAAAACAAATTTTTACTCTCCTAGAAAAATAGAAATTGCTGCTTTGAAAGTCACTAAAGTGCAATATCAATTATTAAAGCAATACAAATCCCATAATTAGAAGTTAAATACACAATTTTCAAGTATCATCTCTCGCCACCATGAAAATTAGCAGAGCTCATAAAATACATGTAAAAATCAGAACATTTTAGATTGCTTTTCAAATTCGATAAGACGTGACATTTCAGCATCCAGCGGGAGAGACCACGTACAATATAAACATGCCATTAAGGAAAGGGAATGGGTGGGAAAAAATACAGCAAATATCTTGGGTTTTTAATGGTGAGCAAAAGAAATTGAGCCTATTATTGATGATCCACCCTTCAAGAAATTAATTCAAATGGCCAAAGCCCTTTTTATTCTGCATTAATTTTTCGCCAACACCTTCTCCCTCCCCCCCCCAAAATGAAACCTGCCAAAGCCTCCATTACACAATGGCAAGAGCCTTGCACTGGTGACCTCCAACCAGCTGCATTCACTTTCAGAACATCTCTCTCGGCAGGAAATCTAAAGGCCTTTTAGTTAGCAAGCTAGTGTGCATTCAGAAGGAGTAACTGCAGGAAGAGCCCAATGTGCTTTGTTTCTCTGGCCTTTCTTCACAGAAAGATTAATCATCTGTGAAATGGAAACGGCAAACAGCAAGTGACACAAACTGAACCCTTCAAGCCTTTCCTCATCAGTTTTGTGGTCGTGAATCCGAAAGCTGCGTGTGGCACGGTTCTCCTTACAGGCAGGTGTTAATAAAAGGCTCTTGGGTCTGAAAGGTCAAACTCGGCTCTTCTAGGAGTAGTACATTTTAGAGTCGCCTATTTTTTGTTGTAGATAATTTATGATCATGCTTTAAATAATGCAACTTTTAGGTTATAATTGATGCAACTGAAAATTAAGAACTTTAAAATACAAGGAAGCATTCCCTAAACCGTTGGGCATACAACCTTTTTGCGCTTAATGCTATGCGGTTGAAGTACATTTATAAACAACCACAAATAACATCAGTATTTACTACAGTCTTTTCTAGTCTTGCAGTTGCTTTAGTGGGGGGGAAAAAAAAAGAAAAGAAAAAGCTCTTCTAAATCTTCAGATCCTGATTTGAAACCCTCCAGGAACAGGACTCCCCACAGATTTTAACAAGGAAGGGGCAAGCTAAAACTTTTAATGAAATCTAACATGTTCTGCCTAAGAATAATCACTTTTACTCTCCTATAACTGAATTTCACTCATAAATGTTTAAAAGTGGCTAATATAACACCATTTCCTACAAGGAGAAGATCAAAGTGCTATATTACAAATGCATTATGATTAAAAAAGCACTGTGCAGCTTTGCTATTAACTGTTCTTTAAACCCTAAAAGGCTTCCCATAGATCTCACTTGGCACTGCATATACAACCTTTGACAAGTAATGTAGACCATTTTTATTCATTGCCTAAAATTGTAGGCAATTATGTGCGTCACACTGGCCACCTGCAAATTCTGAATGCCTGCTCCAGTTGTCAGAGCAAAAAACTAATGTCGGAGGGGATTAATCTAGGGGGAGAGAGTCCTCTTTAATGGCTCCAGCAGGTGAAATGGCCCAGCTGGTTACTATGATGAGTGGCCAGAACAGCTTATGTAGAGACATGCAACAAGACTACACATAAAGAAGAAAACAGTGGTACCATCTTATCTTTAACCCTATGTGCTTTATATTTTTTAATTAATCAGTATAAACAAGATAAGGGAAGCAACTCTACCAATAGGCACTTTTTATTTAAGATCTTTATCCTCAGCTTTTGTTTAAATAGACACACAAAAATCAACATAATCTCCAAGACTCCTGTTCAGCAGTGAAGGAATTCCAATTACACACTATTTCAGGTTTTAAACCAATTCTGCAGGCACCTACCACATGGCTTTCAGCTTTACAGTTCCTCCCCATAGCAATGCATTATTGCAGATAAATTGGAGACAATAAAAAATTGACAGATAAAACATTACAGCACAAGTTATCAAAAGCCAATCTTTCAGGCTTAAGCAGCAATGAAATGTTTTTTAACCATACTGTATGGGTAGCTACATAACACAGACCTCCAGAAAATTTCAAGCATCAACACAGCAAATAAAGTTTGCTCTTTCTAAAGCCTATCTAAGCACATAGTTGCCAATCAGAACTTCTCTTCCACATTCACCTATTACCTTTCAGTAACACACTGAAACCCATTTTGGCCCAGACCTAATACTTCAGAGGTCTCATTTAGGTACCTGACTTGATGCTGTTTTCAACTGCTGTTCTAAAGGAGTAATTACATGGCTAGCTTCTGCAGGGAAGGCTGACCAACAACCGGATATGCTGGGGAGAACAGACAGCTGTGTACTTGCAATTTCATTTTGGTTTTACAGAGAAAGTGGCAAGTATTGGAAAACTTCCTTTAGATAAAAGGATGGAAACTTACAGGCAAATACACCATTTATGTCTGAAGCTGGTGTGGCAGTAAGACACGAAGAAAAAAATTTGGAAATAATTATTCAAAATCAAATTTTCTTTGATGGACTACCATGCAGAATGTAAGGCAGACAATCTAGAAATGAAAAAAGGGACAGATGAACTCAGATTCCCCCACATCAATGACGGTGTCCCATTTAAATGAGATTTACTATGATCCCTTAAACAGAAATCATTAAATACTAATGACAATATGAGGAAAGCAACTATTCCCACGTATTTCTTTTCACTCAGCTGACTCAATACTCTAAACAAACACACAAAAAAGCAAAAAGCACATTTTCAGGTTATATCTCATATAGCACCATTTTTAGTTTTATTAATTGCTTCTGTTTAGGCCTGGTGAGAGTATGAACTGACCTTTTAATCTTCACTATCACTGTAACAATCATTTAAGCACATTTAATCACTACTCTAGTTAACTCCGAGATGCTTAATAACAGAATACAGAGCTATGATCCACTTTGTTTCGTTAGATCTGGCCTCCCCAGTTGCACACTTTGAGGTCAATCTGTCACCAGCAGAATGATCCACTTCTTTGACAAGAGGGGTATTCTTGTTCTGTTTTTCACCTAGCAACATTACAGTAAGCACCATTTAAAAAGCTGCCAAAAACCCCTCCAAAATCCAATTTATTTACAATTGCCAAGGCTATGAAATACAACAAACTTCATGAATATCAAATACCACTGTTTTAAACACCAGTTGATTTCTGACTATATCCTTGGCAATATATTTAGCACATTTGAACACTTAGTATATTTAGCCATTTATGCAATACAGTGATTTTAATTTATGTCCTGCTCTCATTTTCCAAAGGTGGCAAGTAGTCAACCTACAAATGTTAAGCAGGACTTTAACAATAAGTCCTAACAGTATAAAATATTAGAATATATCTCTATATAGAAATATATTTAAATTGCATTTAGGAGATTTATCAAGACATGCTCATGAGACACTACTGTGTATAAAAATGTGCATACATTAATAAACTCTCTGGATGGATGATAGTAATAACGTGTGCCAATGCCAAATTCTTCTCAGAGCATGAGGGACTAAACTGAAGCTTGGAAAACTCACTTGCCTACTTGGCATCAGAGAATTGTGAGCTTTTTGTTATAAATTAGCAGGGCATGTAATTAACTTCCGCAAATTTAATAAAGTAGTAAGCAGTTGTGAGGATTATCACTTCACACTTCAAAGTGCAAGTGAATTCTCCGTGATCGTGCAGGCAGTGCAAAAGTCTCTGCTACTACAAAGTGTAACTGTGAATACAGTAGGCCTTTTTACCCCCACCAAGGGAGATGTTTCTCAGAAGTACAGGGTGTTTCTCAGCACCTTACTCATTCCCTTCAAAATTCCCAAGATGTAATAACTGACCAGCTCCCTGTAAATACTCCAAAAGCAGTTAAATGCTTTTTATTAAAATGTTTCAATTGTCCAAAATTCTATCATTTTCACTGCTCTGCTCCTCAAGAGTTAAGGAATACTTAAGCTACAAGTTGTACCTAAAACATTACCTGTAGCTCTTAACTCCTTCATACAGAAGTTCAACTGTGTAGCATATCAATAATGAAGGTAGTAGTGTATAATTAATATATTCAGACTTCCCTAAGGAATCTGTCTCAGTGATGTAGGGTATTTAATTCAAAAAACGCTGCATACACTAAATGGAGGCAACATCACCTAACCAGTAGGTCTCAGAATGTAACTGTAAATAGGAAATCCAAAGAGTACATTTCTGGTGGCACTCCAAACAAATTATTTGCATTTTGCTAGTTATCATCTATCATCTTTCATCAACAGCCTAAAAAAGACCACATTAATGACACTGATTCTAAGAATAGTAAATTACTAACAACATGAATCATGTGTGTAGTGACCAGAACTGCTAGACAGATTTAGTGAAAGCAAACAATGTTTTTCAATACAATGAATTCCAGCTCATACACTGGCTGAGAGGAGGACAAGGGAGGGTGGATACAGTATTTATCAGGTAGAGGACTTCCCCCATGCACAAGTCACTGAGAAGACTTGAGGGCCACAAGCAAATGAACTGTACTGTAACTAGAAGACTAGCCTATTTATATACTCAAAGACTGTATTAATGTCCGATGTGAATAATTCTACACTCATCTCTGTTGAAATACTGAAAAAATGGAAGAAAAATAAGAGGTTTTGAAAAAGTGCTTATACGTGAAGACTCAGTGTGCTTAAATCTTATGCTTTTATTCTACTGCATTTCACATACATAAAATAAACAAAAAACTCACATAGTACAGGGGTTTTCACACTAGCATAGTAGAAATCAAATGGCTGAAATTTGAAACTTGACAAATACAGACTAAAGC